CACATCAAATGTCACCATCGACGGTTTAAGAGGTAACTTAAAAACCTATGAATCTACTATACTTAACCCGTCTTTGAATGACCAAAGGAAAGGCATAGCATTAAAAGCCTTCAAAGAACCAACGATGAATGACTCAAGCGACGATGATGAAGTCAAGCTTGTCATGAAGAAGTTTTGTAAACTTCTAAGAAAGAAAGAGAAGGTTGAGGATGGCCCTGTGTGCTATGAATGTGGTGAAGCCGGGCACATCAAGAACAAATGCCCGAAAAGCGGAAGGAATGCTCAGCACTTCAAAAGGCAAAGAGCATACATCTCCTGGGGTGGAGACTCCGGCGATGAATCAAGCGAACAAGAGGAAGAAGAGGAAGCAAATCTTTGTCTCATAGCTCAAGAAGAAGAGGAGTCCGCCAACAACGAAAACCAAGAGGTACGTATTTTTTCTACCGGTTCTTATTCTTTTGAAGAAATGCAAGAAGCTCTCCAAGAGCTTTATGACGAGTTTGTTAGCGCTTCTAAAACCAACAAAGCTTTAAAGAAATGTTTTTCTAATCTTGAAATTGAGTTTGAAAAGGAAAACGAAAAACTAAAAGTTGAAAACAAATTTTATGGTAAAAGAAGCACCGACAAACCCGAGAGCTCTACGAAAAATTGTGACACTTGCATAGCTTTGAAAGAACAAGTCACAAAACTTGAGAATACAGTTAAGAAATTTAATACTCCGCACAAAGATCTTAATTTACTCCTTGACACAATGCACTTTTCTAAAGAAGGAATAGGCTTTAATAAAAATGAAGCTAAGGATAAAGAAAACGTTGAGCAAACACCTAGACAACCTCCTAAGGCTCAACGTAAGAAAGCTAAAAATCAAGTTAATAGAGAACCTAGTCAATCTAAGAACACTAGACAACCTAGACAAAAACCTAGGAATGAAAACGTTCATAGTAGACAACCTAAGAAAAATTATCAAAATGACTTTGTGCATAAAAATAATTTTTATCAAAATAGAAGAGACAATATGAGAACACCTAGAAATGATCCTTTTGAAAACATGCATAAACCATCATTTTCTCAAAATAGGACAAACATGGTTAGGCCCCCTAGCTATTATCAACCTAGGCATATGTTCAACCCAAACGTAGTATGCCATTATTGCAATAGGGTAGGACATATAGCTCCCGTGTGTTTTACAAGACATAGGCACTTCACCTGTAACGAAACACACAACATATTTGGTGCTAACGAAAAGAAATCCTTTGGAAAAGGATATTCGTATCATAAACCATCTCCACAGGATAATGCACAAAAGAAACCTTACTATTTCTTCTACTTTGACGAAAAGAAGAAAGTCCACATTCCGTTACTAGAACCAACACAAATCACACCAAGATATCGGCACTCCGTTCAGGTAGATTGGAACCCGCCAACCACGAGATCATGGGTTGGCCAAGGTAATTCCTAAACGATCATCTAATTGTGTGTGTGTGTACGCGTGTGTGTAAGGAAACGAATTTTGGGTGTGTGTGTGGGCAATAAAAGTTAACTAACCCCCAAGGACCCATAGACATACTTTGGGTACCAAAGTGTTATTCTTTTTTGCAGGGATGGTTCAAAGTGAAGAATTATGGAAATCAGGGGGAACCAGCGATGGGTGGGCAATACCATCGCTGGGAGGGAAGTTTTCTTTTTTTCAGAACCCCTCTTCCCATCGATGGGTGCTTCTTCCCATCGATGGGTAATTGACTCTATTTTTTAAAAACCTTTTAACGGATTTCCAGAAATACCTTACCCATCGATGGGTATTTCATTCCATCGCTGGGTGAAGGACTTTTGTCGAAATTTTTTTTAAGAAACACCCTACCCATCGATGGGTCTTTTATCCCATCGCTGGGTGAATGATTTCAGTTTCAAAATTTTTTTCAGAACCTCCCCACCCATCGATGGAAACTTTCTCCCATCGCTGGGTGTTTGACACTATTTTTTTAAGCGTCTTCTCAGATTTCCAGTAGCCACCTTCCCATCGATGGGTGAGTTCTACCATCGCTGGGAAGGCAGCCTTGTTTTCTACTCACTTTCTAAACGCTTCAACAATGGCCAGAGGAAAGTCAAGGACCAAAACCGAGGCTTCAAAGAAGAAGGACAACACCGATGCCACGACATCTTCTTTATTTTCTCCTTATTAAATATGATTGTATTTTTATCCGTTGTATTCTGCATTTTCCTTTTAATGAATAAAAGTTTACTTTTAATTCTTTTTGTTAATGTCAAAAGGGGGAAGATATAAAGGTTATGCATAGATTTAGGGAGAACTTTTTCTAAAACTAACTCTTATTCAACACATAAACTTTGTTGAAAAGAAAATCACATTTATTAAGGGGGAACATTTTTTAAGTCTGAAATCAATCCTCCTATGCATAACCCCGTCTTGTTTGCCATTATCAAAAAGGGGGAAATTGTTGAAACACGGGTTTATCACCTTTTCGTACTAAAGCCGTGTTTGTTCTTATGACAGGTTTTGATAATGCCAAACCGCCGTGA